CCTCTCTACATTCCAGAAAGATATAGAGATTGAATCATCATATCACCCCTGAAGTTTGTACCTTGCTTTGTGCAACTTCAACTTCTCCCAACATTTCAACATCATGTGCTAATGATGCACTTTCCAGTTAGCAAAGGATCCACATATGACACAGCAATGACTTAAGTCATCACACTAGTGCTTACCCAGATTTCTACATATAATTCTTTTGGCCTGTAGCAGTGAAATTTAAGTATGCACTAAGTATTTATGTACAACAGAAATGTCTTGGACTCCTGTCCCTCACTTGCCACCAGAGACCCCCTCTGAAAGGACTGACTAGGACACTGTAGGTTCTAAATGCAAGTACACATGTAAAATCTGCAAATCAGGTGAAGAAAGTAGACATCAAGCACAAATATTTATTGGTTAATAGCAAGGTCTTGCCAGAAACAGATACGGCTTTAGTGACACAGCTCTCAAATATGGGCAGTCCCTCAGCTAACTCTACATAAAAAAATTTGACATAAGCAAAACCTAAAGTACTCTGGATAGGAAATCAAGATAACTCACTACACTCTCTAGGGATAGAAACTAAAGCAAACATGAATTGATTTACCATAAGCCACTATCAGTGGTGAAGCCAAAATTGCTGATTCCCAAACAGCACTTTGTACAGCACAATCTGCACATATTAACAACTGGTTTAAAAGTCTTCCCAGCCTTTTTGTTTCCCATCCACAAGGAACAGAGACCTCATAACAGTCAGGTAAATAAGCAAGTAAATCAAGTCAGTGCAAAGATGAGATCTTGTATGCTCTATTTCACACCTTGCCATCCAGCACATACATATTCACAGGCAGAATAAACTCCTTGACTCATGATTTTTATTTATGCCTAAGGCTTCTACGCACTTCTACTTCTAAGCACTTCTATAGTGCTGTTGCAATTTATCTGGGCTGAACAGCTGCATCATCTAAATCTATCCAGTAGGCTTGACTACCTCTTCTCCCAAGGAAAAAGAGACTCCCTCCAAATAGAGCTTATTTTAAAGGCTCTGTTTTCTGATGTTATAGATGATACATTTGTTTAGATGTATTTGGACCAAGATCTCAAAGCACTACCTACTACAGAACAATGGAAAAAAAATTTCAGCAATAAGATAAAGGTGAAGCTTTTTTAACCAAATGCAACATTTGGTCTGTAGCAGAAGTGTATTCTGGCTTTATCTATCCCTAAATTCTAGCATTCCTTCTCATCTCCCATGCTTTCCTATCTGAGACTACTGACAATATTTATTTTCTGATATTCTTACTCACAAAAGCCACAGTCTACATAGAGTTTTACAGTGGAAAGGGCCTTCAGCACTGTAATGTCTCCTTCCTTTCTTTCTCTCCTGAAAAGTGGCTTGAGCTATCCAGGCTTTTTGCTTGCACAGACTGAGCCTATCAATATAGCTACACAAACCCATATTTTTAAACCAAAATAGTGCCTTAATTAAACACCTCTCTACCCTCTGTACTAAAACCTTTTATTTCTTCTCATAAAATTGCTACAAAGTATAGAAGTGCCCTTGTCCCCATTTCATAATTGAGGACTTAAACAAATACACAGAAGACTGACTCTTATGTTGTATCAGTCAGTAGCATGTGCTAAACCCTGTATCTTCCTCACTAGATCAAAACTGGCACGGATATACACCCACATATCCCACAACTATCTTCTGCAAAGTGCCACAAATATTCCTGCAGTCTTTCTTCAGGCTACCTTCACCTTGAACTTCATTACAAGGACCTGTGAAGTCAGACAGGTCCAGATTTTGGTGAACCACATGAGTTTCAAGGGACCTGCATCACAGTAAAAGCTGCTACTGGCACTCCTCAGAGGGCTTTGAGAACGAATCATCTTTTCAGCCAGAGACATGCACATCCCAAAACCTTCACATTTGACAGAGATTATCTATTGCAGAGCCGTGTTTTCCAGAAATGCAAGCCCTTGCTCACTGTGCTGCTTATCACAGTGAGGCATGTCTCAGTGCCTTTTGCTCTATGGGATACAGGCAATTATATAACTGTTGTGAGATTATGCAATGACTAATCACAGATTTAATATACAGCCTTATTGTATCTGGGGCTTAACTCAAACTAGCATCTCACAAGACTGAAATGATCTTCGATTCACAGTTCTTAATGAAATCAAAGATAATGATCTGATGGAAACCCAAAACCTGATGCACTGTACACAGAAACGAATCTGTTCTTATAGTATATGTAACAAAATAACTAGTCAAACATAACAAAATTACGAGTCAAATGACACTAAAATAAGGAAATACAATACAGTTCCAAGGGAGTGCATTTAGCTTTGACTACATAGGACATATGATTTGTGGTTATCCCTTCAGGGACTGAAGATTGAATCCTTGAAAACTCAGCCACAGCTGCATTGTTGGGAACTGCAGGCCAATACAGACAAAGCTTTTAGGAATAATGGTGCTTTTAACTCTGTGAACTGTGTCAAGCACAGCTCTGCAGCCAGACCATCAGCTTGGGCTTTTAAGGAAGGACACTAGACCCAGCATGAGAGGCTGCCTTGTATGAAGGCCAAGAGACAGAGAAGAAGGAACAAGTGCAGTTTACACTTCATATGAAATGAACTGGAGCACTGACATTTGCCCATTTCTCTGGTAGGCTGTCAATATTTGTAAAGTGTTAAAATTCGCCTGACCAGAAACTCAATTCTCCAGCAGCTGTGAGTTAAGCAACATCACATTCCTCTCTGAGTACAGAAACAGAGAAGTTGTCTCCTTTACCAGTAGGAAAATCCCTTTCATCTTCTTTTTTAATGAAAGTGAAAGACAATATAAAAGAACAGCAGAGATAATACCAATGTACATCTTCCCTCTGGTCTCTCACTCTCAGGCATTCAGCTGATAATCACACTCAGGAGAATGTGGTGGCACTGGCAAGGCTATGCACATTGGTCATAAATTATATCCCACAACATGACCTACTTTAATTCAACACAGAAACTTTCCTACTTTAATGCAATGTGGAAACATCCCGAGGATGACACATTATTTTATTCAGGAAGCTGAAAGTGGAATCGGGGCAGGAAGAGTTACCATTGGCAGCTTTAGCACCTCATCCTCAACTCAGACAAACACATACTACATGCATTGTCACATAAAAATTTGTGCAGTAAGTCAAAGAGGAAGCAACTTGAGTGAGATGGAACGATAAGAACAAGTGGGAAGAAGTGATTATTGCAGTTCCTATTCTTGCAAGTTAACCGCATTTTTTACTTTTCTCTTTACTCCGAGAGAGAACAACATTGTAACAGCAATTAACCTGGAAATCAACGCCAGGAGAAATAACAGACCATGTGTCTCTGAGCAGCTGCTCTTCAAGATCACACTTCCTTTTTCATTCATTTCCTACGGTGCCATTATGCAGAAGCACCTGGCAGCAGGGAAGCCCAGGCCTGCCCCGAGCACACGACTGGCAGAGGCTCACACGGCAACACTTCCAGCTACATCAAATTCTGGTCTTGACTCAACTCCCGCACTGCCAAGGAAGCAACAGTTGCCAGCAGCACAGAATATCAACCCAGAAAACAAATGGAAAGCATACCTCCCCTTAATTTTCAATTAGGCTCATCTTTGGGCTTGTCAACAGATAGACACATATACTTCTGAAGCAAACAGCAACACATTTCACACAAGGCAATTAAATTTGGTTGCCAGCGCCCCTTGAACAGCACATCACTTGCACCACCTGCCAGACTGGGATGCTGCATCCTTTGACTCGCAGTGAGAAAAGCCACAGCAGAACGGACGCGTCTCGCCTGCCCCTTCCCTGCCCATCACTGCGCTCCTTCCCGTGGTCACACAGCGTTCTCGCTCAAATACAAAAGAGCCGCAGCGCTGCCCGGTGTGACAGCTGCCTCGTTAGGAGGCGCAGCCCGAAGCCGGGGGAAGCAGCAGACAGCTTACCTACTTCGCTTTCGCTAGGCGCCTCC